TATCATGTCATCATTGAAAAATAAAAAAAATTAGCACGTCAGCAGTTCTATTTTTTTAACTGTGACCAAAATGAAATTAAAACATAACATTAGGTATTATTTTGGAAAAAATAGTTAATGATCAAAACGAAACCTCAAAAATAGTAGAGTATTAAATATGTAATTTACCTAAATACTTAATTCATAATTTAAGCCTAACACATGAATAAAAATATTAAATTCGTGTACCAAATTAAATCATGAACGTGTACTTAATTGTTACTCTTTTGATCAGAATCAAAATTTTAAAATTTTAAAAGTATTGGAACTGAAAATGATCAAATCAGACTATAAAGATTAAATCCATAACATAACGCATGGAGTAATAAAAGAATTTGTCATTAATTTTAGGCTTATATATATATTTTGGTACCTAAACTGCTCACTTTATTCCAAATTGGTACCTAAAGAAATTTTGTTCTCAAGTTGATACTCAAACTTTAATTTACTTCACCGTTTTGATACTTGTATTAAAAATGTTAAGTTTTGATAAAGTAATAACATAAAATTGTGAAAATTTATTAAAAGTAATAACTTACAAGAATGTTTCTATTTCAAATATTAATTTCAAAGTAAAATTTCTTTATATACTAACTTGAAAGAACGTGCTTAGTCCAAGTACCAAATGTATATTTAACCTTTGTTTTTATTAGGTAAGCCATTGAGCTTTTCAACTTTTAGCTTTAGGGCTCTAAATAAGACGGGACGGATCACAAGCTACTCGATTTCGATTCAACCAAAGTTCAGATAACACTCGAATCAAAAGAATTCGAATTTGACTCTAGTTCTTAATGAGCCAGAGTAAATTACTTGATTCATGACTCAAAAAACTCGTAAGCAACTCGAAAAAAAAAAATAATTTTTTTATTTTTTTATTTTTTAAATTAAATTATTAATAATATTAACATTTACATATTTTTTAAACGGTAATATAAGATTTTCATGTACTTAAGATTCAGATTCGAGCTCGAGTTTGAACTTAAACCGAGCTAAGTATGAGAATGTTCGGATTTCGAGCTTTAATTTTTTATTACGAATTCTAGTCAAGCTTAATAATTTTAAACTCGTGAATTTTAGAGTCAGATTGAGCTCAACATTACCTAAGTTCTTGAAAATTCTTATCGTTACACTTTTTTACATTCCATAACAGAATAGAATCATGATTGATGTTACTTTCGGACATCACCAGTCCTGTAAGAAACGAAATTAAAATGGTATTGTTGAACAAAATCAGCAAACAAAATCAAGACTTGAATCCAAAGCCTAAACTTTCTAAATTCTTCAGTAATGTCAATATAAATGATCTCTAAACCAATCTGATTCTTGTACAAAGTGAATATCCGACTCGAAAAACTTGTTTCTGCAAAGGACTACAGAGCTGTCAACGAGATTGCTGCGGAACGCAACTTTACTCCGTCGTCATCCCACTTGGAACTCGGAGCACTTGCTCCGGAAATAATAGCCTGCATCAAGTGTTGTTTGGTCCAATATACAGACGAGAATGATAAATATATAAGATTTTATTTTGCATCAAGACCTCTGATAAATAATTTAGCCCCGAAATGAAGAACAATCACAGATCAATCAACAGAAGCGATTAACACACCTTTCCACTGCTAACAGTAGCCATTAGTGCAATGTGTTGATCATCTCTTTCAAATTCATAGAAATAGTAAGTCCTGCCATGAATCAAGCATGAATTAAACATCTATAAATAACTTTTCTTCTATATTATTGCAACTCTGTACTGCAACATGCATGATGCTCATCGGTCATCTAAGGTGCATATTTCCCGAAGACGAATCTCTTTTCTTTTCATTTCGTTAAACATAAAATTCCGAGAAACAGTACCATTAACAGAAGATGAAGCCAAAAATGTTTGCAGGAAAGAAGATGATTCACTGATTCGGTTTTGCTCAAGTTAATCTACAGTTATTGCCTCAACTGTGTGGTATTGTTTTAACTAGTTGAATCAATAACCGATAGCTTATTATAGTCCCCGGAATGATCGAAATAACTTACTTGAAACCTTCATCTTCCTTTATCTTAATCGTACGGGCATTGTAAAGAGTAGCTCCACCTGCCATTGCATATGATCAAGTAGACCGATAGTAAAGATGACAGAAAACAAGAAGAAAGATAGCGGTATCATTTGCTAAGGAACCTGAATCAACCTGGGACAAAGATTTTAGCTGCATCTTTAATGGAACCTAAATCAGTGATTTCTTGGGCCTGTTCAAGAGAAGAGATCACATAAAGTTCTAAGTATGCATTAATCATAGGCGAACAATGATAGAAATCCGAACATTACAACATCTCATACATGCCCTTGGATCTAAGTTTGCTCAGATAGTGAACCTCATAGACACATACCTCTAGGAAGGTGATTTTGAGTTGATTGGTCGGGCGAACGACAACACTTAAAACTTCGGATCTGCACATATGGGAAACACCACAGATATCAAATCCTTCATTCGAAAGTTAATCTTAGGAAGCATAAGACTCGACCTATACGATCATAGAGAAAACATAAATGAACATAAGAATCAAAGGCAAGACAAGGGAAGTTGGTACAAAAGTACTTTATAGTTCATAGTTCATACCCATCAGTAGATGCAAATCGTGCTGCAAAAGTCCGGGGCTTCGCTTTGTCCCCGTAAAGTGTCGCTCCGGCATTAAAATCCTAAAAACATGGAACAATTCATCCGGTTTATCAACAAAACTCGAAAATCTTTATTCATCATAATTTAGTACCAATATTAATTTCCAGAAACAACAAACACATTCAGTCCATGAGTGTTGAATAATTTCCTTTTTTGCAATATAATCAGCAATATAATCACACGAAACAAAGCCATGGGTTCAGCCAGAATGCATCATGGATTTAAATAGTGTTAGGAATAGTAGTCATTATATAACGATATAGATACCATCCGAAACCATTATTGCACATCAATGATACCCGCTATTGCCGCAATCGCACCCCCCGCAATCGCGATAAACACAAGGCAAACCGAAAACGCGCCCGAGCCACAATTTAAATCCATATAATGCATAAAAACTAATGGCAAAACCAATTGAAAGGGGGGCAAAAAATGTACCTCGGGCTCCATGATGTCCTCAAATTCAGGAGGAACCCTAATGGCAAAACCATCGCCGTAAAACTGGAGCCAAGACTTGGTGTTTGCAATGTTCAAAGCCGGTTTCGAAGGTGCAGAAGCTTCAGCCAAAGAATGTGGGATTGGGTTTTGTTGGGCCAAAAGAACGAAGCAAAATGAAGTGTTGATGATGAACTGTCTCTTGGTATTGAGGGTTTTAATGGGAGTGGTGGGAAATGGGGGGTTTAGAGAGGATAGTTTAGGGTTTTGGGGAGGGTTTGGGGACAAGGAGAGGAGAAAGGCCATGGCAGAGGGAAGATGGAGTTCATGGCTGTTAATAGAGACAACTAGATAATGTGACATTTACTACTTTAATGCTTACATAGGGTATTGTAGTCATTTTCGTGTGATTAAAAGTATTATTATTTAGGGATAAAATAATTGGGTAAACTACATAATGATCATTGATGTATGAGTAAGTTTATTTTTCCATTCTGATGTTTTAAAAGTAATGATTCAATCACCGACATTATCGATTTATAATAAATCGATCACTCGTCGTTAATTGTCTTTACTGAGATAATGAAATGTTGATGTGGACATTAAATAGACTTACATGACATTGTTTGATCACATGAAACAACTATTTTAATTGATTATTTGATCCTCCTTTTGTTGAAAGTTAGTTTGTCGTTGAAAACTATTTTGTCAAAAATATAGAGAGAAATAGAGACACAATTCTCGACGAGAAACTGACTTTCAACAAGAGGAGAGTCAAACAATCAGTCAAAATAATTTTTTATGTGAAGAAATGGTGTCGTGTCAGTTGACTTAACACACTATATTAGTATTTTATTATCCCAACAACGAATTATTGACTAGTGATTGATTTGTTTTAAATCTATAACGTCAAATTATTATTTTCAAAACATTAATAGAGAAAAGAAAATTTTACTCAAACAAATGTGACAATTTATATTATTTACGAACCAAGTGACCTTATGATAAAGGAAATGTTGATATTCTTTGAGGACCCGGATTCGAACACTAAGTATGTAAGCGTTCAATGTCAAAAGATTGAGAGTTATCTTTGAACAGATATTATCTTGTACTTACCCCATATTAATAAAAAAATCCTTGGACTTATAATTGTTCTCGATTTTTATTAATTTATTTTTAAAAAATTAAGGGTAAATTGTACTTTTAGTACGTAAATTATCAGTTTTGGTCTATTTTATTACTTAAACTTTTAATTTTTTTAAAACTATACCTAAAGTTTAATTTTTGTTTCATTTTAGTACTCCGCCGTTAAAAACTTTGGTTTTTGTTTCATTTATTACCCCTGTTCAAAATTTATCTTTAAATTTTGGAAAAAAATTTTGAAATAGTTCATGTACTAAACGGGTTAAGTTTTTAATGGTAAGTTACTAAAGTGAAATGAAAACTAAACGTTAGGTATGGTTTTTAAAAAATTAAAGTTTAGGTACTAAAATAGATTAAAATTGATAGTTTGAGTATTAAATGCACAGTTTACCCAAATATTAAATCTAACACGAAGTTACAAAGATACCCTTTGTTTATCTATATGGATGAGAGCCAACCAAATCCAAAACCAGACAAAATCCAAACCACTCAAACACTCTAAGCTAAACTGAACCAGAAACAATTTGAAACTGTAATGAAAAAAAATCTCTCCTTTCTTTTAAATTCTCTGAAAAAAGTTCTCATTTCTCTGCTATCCACTAGCTGGTGAGCCAGTTTAAACAATGGAAACAGTTCTTTCTTCTCACTCCGTTCATTCATCTTGAATCCCAAAACCTTTTGTTACCTTCACATCAACCAAGATCAGTAAAACCATGCTTTGAAGAACCCAGAAACTGGTTTTGTTCATGCACAGCAGGGACTTGCAGCTCTAGCTATTTCATTGGCACTCAATTTTTCTCCAGTTTTACTCACCGGAAATGCAATGGCGTCGGAGTTTGATGTGATAAACGAGGGGCCACCGAAGGAATCTTATGTAGTCGATGATGCTAATGTGCTTAGTCGGGTCACGAAATCTGATCTGAAGCGGCTTTTGTCTGATTTGGAGTCGAGGAAGAATTTTCACATTAATTTTGTTACTGTTAGAAAGCTCACTGTAAGATCTTGTTTCATGAATTTACTTGTATAATTGTTGGCTTATTATCATTTGGCAGAATTTTATGAATTTGCAGTTTGAAGAAATGGTAGAGGCTTTAGTCATTAACTTTCTGTTTGGTCACTTGGAAAATCAAGGAAAATAGAACCAAATGAAAGTTGTCTGCAAATCTAATTTAAATTTTAGGGTAAACTATTTAAATTATTATTTTTATTCCATTTTTATACTCAAATTTTATTTTTTAAAGCCATAATGTTTAGTTTATGTTTTAATTTGATTATCTAATGTTAAAAATTTAACAGAACTGTTTATTTGATATTTTTTATTTTTTCGCGATGATGTAATATTATCTTATGTAGGTACCAAAACGTAATAAAAGTAATAGTTTAAGAATTAAATGTGTAGTTTACCTTAATTTTAACCTTGATTTCCTCTTCTTTTTCTTTGAGTTTCATATTGAACATTAAGAACATAAAATTACTTTAGCTTGTGGAACAGATTCAAAGATTGAGAACCATGATTGATTGGAGAAGAAAATTGAAGGAATAATTTAGAACTGAAGATTGATAAGAATTTGATTGCAGAGCAAAGCTGATGCTTTTGAGTATGCTGATCAAGTTCTGGAGAAATGGTATCCTACACTTGAAGAGGGTAGCAATAAAGGGATCGTCGTGCTTGTGACGAGCCAAAAAGAAGGGGCGGTCACTGGTGGACCTGCATTCATCGAAGCTGTCGGAGAAAATATTCTCGACGCTACTGTAACCGAGAACCTTCCTGGTAAATATTTCTGAAGTTGAAACTTGAAAATCTTATGGTCAAACCCTGTAGAACTACTTTATCATGCTGGTCGAACTTGTTGGAATCATTTTTCTTAGAACAACTGATAAGTTATGCGATCAACACGAACAAGACCATCCGAATAAGCTCTTAGTCGTCTTCTACAGCTCCTCAATATGAGTTCCTGATATATATTCATTGTGCAGTTCTCCGGCAAGTACTCTCCTTCGGTTCCATTGTTTCAAAATACATTTTAGGCCTTTCTCTCTTCTCCAAGGACGGCATCTTTCGAGTTCTGGATGCCAATACGAAGATAGATAATTGGTTTTCATTCGACTTAATCAGATAGTATAGCTCATAGTGAAAATTGAAGTTTCATCTACACAAATAATCCTTTTAATTTCACTTCGTTTACTGCAACTTTAATCATATAGGACTGTTCTTTGCTATTGCAGTTTTGGCTACGGAAGAAAAGTACAATGAAGCAATTTACAGCAGTGCCAAAAGGCTAGTCGCTGCTATTGATGGACTTCCAGATCCCGGTGGCCCGACGTTTAAGGACAACAAGCGGGAGTCGAATTTTAAGTCTAGGGAAGAGACCGAAGAGAAACGAGGACAGTTCAGTCTCGTAGTTGGAGGTTTGTTGGTGATTGCTTTTGTTGTTCCCATGGCACAATACTATGCCTATGTCTCCAAGAAATAAAAACTAATCTGTATTATAAGATTTGTCTTTCCACTCCCTTCCCTTAGATGAATAAACATGTATAACATGTAGTTATACAATTACTCATGTTAAATATGGTTGACGAGAGACTTGCAATCCAAGCAATAGTATAGATTTTTGGTTCGTGTTTAGAAAAAAGCTCGATTATAACACGTGACCGAGTTCTATAATCTCCATAATCAGGATGCTTAAAGCTTGGTGAAACATTGCTATTTTCGACATAGCAGTGTGATCTTCACATCTCCATTTTTGACAATAACAGTTTCGGATGGCACCACTACCACTATATAACGTCTGCTATGGTATCCAACCGCTATGTAAACCCCTAACTCTATCATAGAAGACTTGTTGAAATATTGCAGAGGTTGGGGTTGATTTTGTGGCCTTGTGTCACGATGGAAGGTGAGTTAGGGTTTGAAGAAATCGATTTGGGGAAATATCGAAGAAGAAAATTGGGAGTGAAGCAACAACAATTGGGGGAGGATTGAAAGGAATTAGAGATTGAGAAGTTACCTGAAGAGATTGAGGCTAAAACATATATGGGAGGTGGGTCACGTGGTGAGGAGCAACGGGCCAGGGTCTATTTGGGTAAAGGGTGTAGTTGGGCTCCATTGGATTTAAACCCAAATTAAGTAATATTATAGGCACATGTGGGATTTGGGGTATTACGAATATAATATTAAGCAGAGGGTTGGAAGGGCTGAAATGGGTGAGTCAGCAGGGAGTTAGTTATTTTGTTATTTGGTTGTTCTATCAGCTGTAGGGTACTTGTTAATATATAAAACTGTACCACATCTTTTGAGAATTATCTAATGAATGAATAAGCACATTTTTTGTACCTATTTCTTATATTTCTTAAATCCCTAGAAAATTCTTCTATCCTAAATCATAACAATTGGTAATCAGAGCTGAGTTTAGTGATCCAAAATCATTTTTCACGCTGGGAAAGACAAGAAAAATGCAAAAAGCTGGAACCACAAAGGTACCAGAACAATCAGCAGTGGAGGAGGAGACCTTACCATCTTGGTGGGCTGGGCAGAAAGAAGAGCTGGAAGGGAGGATACAAAAATTAGAAGAGGGAATGACTGAAAACAGAGGGTATTTGCAGAGAATCCTCCAGCTGGTCAATCAAGCAGTTAAGGAAAAAGATTCATCTCAGTCAGTGAAGAGTCAACCACAAGCAGCTGAAAAACAGGAAAAAAAAGTGAAGGTAAATCACAATGTTTAATTACGGTTCTTAGTGAGCATGAAAAATACACTTTTCAACCTAATGAACCAGTGATATTAGTTTCTAAACCTGTGGGGTTTAATGGTCCTCAATCTTTTAATCATAAGTTACAAGAAGAAAAGCCTTTGGGTAGTTCTAGTGAGAGTAAGGGGGAGGAGATGAACATATTGACACTAGAAACTACTGTAAAAACCTTTTTGGGAATATAAATTCTGTGTTACCTACACCAAAATTGGAGTTACCAATGTTTGACGGTAACAATGCCAGGGGCTAGATTAGGAAATGCTAGAAGTTTTTTAATTTGTTTGGAATACCAGAGGAGCAGAAACTGGAAATAGCTTCTATGTATTTAGCTGTGAAGGCTGAAACCTGGTGTGATGGTTACATTATGCAGAAGTACAGGGTTACTTGGCATGAATTTGAGGTTGATTTATGTCACAGATTTTGTGATAGAAACTATTCTTATATTATTGAAGAATTCAATAAGTTGATGCAGAAGGGGAGTGTAGAGGAATATCAAGAAAAACTTAAAGAGCTAAGACCCTACTTATTGCGACAGAACATGCATCTGGGGGAGGCTTATTTTGTTTCCAGCTTCATTAGTGGTCTCAAGGAGGAATTAAAGCATAAGGTGAAGGTGTTAGAGCCCAAGAATTTATCTGAAACTTACAGGCAAGCAAAATTTTATGAATTGGCTAATGAGATTGAAGGGAAGAAGTACAAATCTGCTAACAATTTTTTTTCTTATAATCCCTCAAATATTCAACAGAGCAGTGGGAATAAGGGATTTTTGCCTAAGACATTTCCTCTTACTACTAATAACAAACAGAGTTTATTGGAATACAGAAGAGCCAATAACTTCTGTTTTAAATGTGGAGAAATATTTGTTCCAGGACATCAGTGTAAAGTCAGGTAGTTGAACTGTATGGAAGAAGAAGAAGACTCTGCTGAACAGTAAATGATAAAAGGTGAACAAAATGAGGGGGATGAAATAGCAAAAGAAGCATTGGAAATTTCTATTAATGCCATCACAGGAAATGTGGGGCATACTACCTTGAGGATTCAAGGTTTTATCAGAGGTAAACCTATTAATGTGTTGATTGATAGTGGTAGCACCCACAGTTTTGTGACACCTAAATAGGCCAAGGAAGGGGTGGAAATGGTTCAGACTCAACCCTTAGTTATAACAATAACTAATGGTGAAAAACTTTTTAGTACTGCAAAAAGTAATAAGATGAGCTGGAAGATGCAAGGTTATGAATTTCAGCATGATTTCAGAGTATTATCTTTGGGAGGCAGTGATATGGTATTGGGGGTGGACTGGATGAAAGAATTTAGCCCTATACTAATGGATTTTAAGGCAAAGACCCTTAGTTTTGATAAGGAGGGGGGAGAATGTGGTGATAAAAGGTACTCAGAAGTTACTAGTACTAAGACCTATTACAGGTGAGAAGTTTCAGAAATTAGTTGAAAAAGATACTGAAGTGAATGGGGAAATTTTATTTGTTGAGTGCTGAAGCTGAGGACATAAATTTCCTATTCCTATAGTGGAAGATTTATTGGATGAGTTACATGGGGCTAATTTCTTTTCAAAGATTGATTTGAGATCTGGTTATTGGTAAATCATAATTAAAGAAGAGGATATTCATAAAACTGCTTTTAGGACTCACCAAGGGCATTATGAATTTAAAGTTATGCCTTTTGGCCTTACTAATGCTCCAGCTACTTTTCAAGCTTTGATGAATGATCTGTTTGGGGCATATTTAAAGAAGTTTGTTCTTGTGTTTTTGATGATATTCTAATTTACAGTCCTAGTATGGCAGAGCATAAGAAGCATTTAAGAGTGGTGTTGGAAATTCTGCTGAAGAATAGATTATATGAAAAAAATAGTAAATGCTTTTTTGGCCAGCGGCAGGTGGAGTATTTGGGACACCTAATTTCTGCTAAGAAGAGTAGCAACTGACCCTGCTAAAATAAAGGCTATGCAACAGTGGCCTTTACCTAAAAATTTGAAAGCTTTGAGAAGATTTTTAGGTTTAACAGGGTATTACAGAAAATTTATTAAAGGGTATGGAGAATTGAGTAAACCCTTGACTAATATGTTAAAGAAGGAAGGGTTTCATTGGTCCCCAGAAGCTAAAATGGCTTTGCCAAATTTTGATCAGAATTTTTTTTAGAAACCGATGCTAGTTCTAAAGGAATTAGGGCTGTTCTATCTCAAGCAGACAGACCTATAGCTTATTTGAGTAGGGTTTTGGGTCCTAAACATACAAATCTTTCTATTTATGAGAAGGAATATTTGGCTATTTTGATGGAAGTTTCACATTGGAGACATTATTTGGACAGTGACTCTTTTGTAATCAAGACATACCATGAACCTTTAAAACATCTTCTAGAACAGAAGTTAACTACAGCTATACAGAAGAAAGAACTTACAAAGTTGCTTGGGCTGGATTATACCATTTAGTACAGGAAGGGTAAGTCTAATAAGGTAGCATATGCACTCTCTAGACAACAAACAGATTCTGGTGAGTTTCTACAGATGGGAGTCACAATTATAACTCCTACTTGGGTGAATGATATTGAAAAGAGTTATGAAGATGATGTTATAGCTCAAGAAAAAAATTCCTATTATGGTTATTCAACCAGACAGAATACAAGACTGGAAGTTAGTAAAAGGGGTGTTGTATTTCAAGAACAAGATTTATGTGGGTAGCAAAGGGTAGGGGTGTATTCGGTTCGGTTCGGTTCGGTTCGATTTTTTACCAAAAATTGAACCGAACCGAAATAAAAGGGTTTTTAATATTTAAACCGAAACCGAAATCAAACAGTTAAAAAATCGAAAAAAATCGAAACCGGTTTTTTCGGTTCGGTTTGGTTTTTTTAACGGTTCGGGTTTTTCGGTTCGGTTCGGTTTATCGGTTTTTCAATAAAAAAATCACTTGAAACTATAATTTTTTTTACAAAAATTGCCTATTCGGTTCAATATGGAACAAATGGGTTCCATATGGAAAACCCGAACCGAACCGAATCAAAAAAATGAAGCCTTTAAACCGAACCGAAAACCGAACCGTTTAAAGTCAAACCGAACCGAACCGAACCATTTTACTCGGTTCGTGTCGGTTTTTCGATTTTCTCGGTTTCGTTGCTCAGCCCTAGCAAAGGGGAGTTGAGACAGAATATTATTGTGGCTCTACATGATTCACCACAATGAGGGCATTCAGGTATTCAGGCTACTTATCAAAGAATTAAGTCTGATTTTTTTGGCCAAGAATGAAGACTTTAATTCAAGACCATATTCAGCAGTGTGAAGTTTGTCAAAAGACCAAAATAGAGCATATTCCTAAGCTAGGATTATTACAGCCTATTCATATCCCTAATAATGCTTAGGAAGTGATTACAATGGACTTCATTGAGGGTTTACCACCCTCACCAAAGTTCAATTGCATTTTGGTGGTAATTGATAAATTCACCAAGTATGCTCATTTTATGCCATTAGCTCATCCTTATACAGTGGTGGAAGTTGCTAGGGTTTTACCTTGATCAAGTCTATAAATTACATGGTCTTTTTAAGATAGCTATTTCTGACAGAGACAAATCTTTTACTAGTTTATTTTGGCAGGAATTAATGAAGCAGTTGGGGACCACTACATTATTCAGTATTGCCTATCACCTTGAGACAGATGGCCAAACTGAGAGGCTCAATCAATGTCTTGAACAATATTTGAGGTGCATGTGTTTTTGAAAGCTAAAGACTTGGTCAAAATGGTTAGCTCAGGCGTAGTGGTGGTACAATACTAATTACCACATTGCCCTTCGAATGACACCATTCGAAGCTTTATACAATTATCAAGCCCCTAATGTAACATGGTCAGCAGATTCTAGAGTGGATGCAGTACAGGA